GTAGATGTATGCCAGGCGCGTCGCAGCGTAACAGTGTTTCGTGAGATATCGCGAAGCCTGTTACGCGAGACGCGGTCTGGCGTACATCTACCTTGTTTAACGAAAACTGTTATCAAAACATGAATGCCTGCTTAAATTTTGCGAATTTCCACCCTCTTCTGCAGCCACGCCTCCGACCACATGGTGCGCCAACTCATCAGTTAGGGTACTCGGGCTCTAGGGATGCATATCGAAAGGAAAATATCGATAGTATTAATATCGACATCGGTAAAATGGTCCGATATTAACTATCGATATATCGCTGGAAAATATCGATAGACCCGATATATCGGTCGGGACAAAAAGAGGGAAAATTGAAGGAAAAACAGTGTAAATCTGTTACAAATCAGTTATAATATATAATAATTGCGAAATCACAAAACAATGGCAGTCTCAACCCAAAAGGGAACATCTATTTTTAATCATAAGTATTTTCCAAAACTACAGTTTGCAGGTAGAAAATATAAGTTAAGCCATTAATTATACTTGTAAATCACAGCTAGGGGAACAAGCCCAACATAAGAAACGATTAAGAACTAGTTTGGCAAACAAAACTAAAATCACTCAAGAAAACAAAAGAAAACTCTTATTAACAATAAATAATTGTTTGGACAGAATTAACTAGGTCTAGAATTACTTTTTGTCGGGATTGTGATACCAAATGTTATCACTAAGTTTGTATAGGAAAACTCGATGCTTGAGATGCTCTGCACTTAGACGGTTGCCGTCATCCGTCATTATCCTCCCTGCATCAGAAAATGACCTCTCACACGGCACAGAAGTGCCGAGCATGGGGAGGAACAGCCTTGCCACTCGATACAGGTGAGGATACTCGTGGCGAATTGACTCCCACACCTCGAGTGGATTGCTCACCCGCGGTGCGGGAGGGCGACCGAGGAACGCGCGCACCTCTGTTCTGGCCTTCCCCGCCGGGTCGTCGGAACTGTTAGCCACATAGGCCGCGGCCACCATGGCGTCGTGCTCTCCCCACAGAAGTCCGCCGCTTTCTTTCTGCTGAAAAATATAAGTTCAGTATAAAGCGGGAGCCGAAACACGTCTAAAAGGTGAAGTCACGATAGCGAAACTCACCTGCTGGTTAGTTTCAGCTGGTTCAGTAGCTGTAGAAGCAGCTTGATTCTCCTCAGCGCGAGTGACTTCCTCACGGATGTATTTCTTTACCATGTCCTCCACGTAGGTTCTTGCTCTAGATACGGCCAGAGGGTTTCTAAAATAGGTAGTCATGAAGCGTGGGTCCACTAGTGTGGCTATGGCCAATGGCATGCAACTTTCTGTCTGATCGAATCTTCGATCGAATTCATCCACTATGAACTTCCGAAAGTTTTTGGCGATATCGTCATTGAGGGGTGCACTTATGTTATCAATGCTCTGCAAATCAAAATATGGATGTATTATGAAAGATACAACTGAAATTAAGATGATAAATAACCTAATAGATTGCATATCGTTACCTTGCGAAGAACTGTCACCATGGGTATGACCTTGCTGGCCGTCGTGCTTTTCTCCGCCGACATCTCCTTTGTTACCTCATGGAAGGGCCGGAGCAGGTCCCTTACGAGACGCAGAGTGGCTAGTTGCGTAGCAGAGAGCATAACTACTTCTGTGGGGAATTTCAGAGCAGCAAGTGTCACAATTTCGGCCATGTCCAAAAAGCGGTCCAACATCAGATATGTAGACCCCCATCGCGTAGGGCAGTCCTGGAGGAGGCGCAGCTGCTTGCCCTCACTAATCCCCCTCTCTGCCTGCAGTCTCTTAAGCTCATTGGAGAAATTGTAGCTTCGATGAGAATACGAAACGATGTTCTTCACACTTGCCACTAATTCAGGGAGACCGGGCACATTTGGTACATTTTTGTTGTTGACCCTCTTGCAGCCCAGCCCTGCCTTCGGTATCAAGTTAATTGTGTGAGCAAAGCACCCTAATTGTTTGTCAGGTCCAAACGCTAATCGGACTGTTGCCTTCATATTTTCGGCGTTGTCTGTCACCACGGCAGACACTTTTTTCTTCTCGATCTTCCATTCGGCCAGAATTTCGTCAAACTGGGTAGCCAAGTATTCAGCTGTGTGACTCTCGGTCAGGAGTCGTAACCCTAGCACAACTGTTTCCATTTCGGTGCCAATGGGGAAGTGAGCAGTGACGCCCAAGAAACTAGATGTGGAGTGTGACTCCGTCCAGGCATCGGCAGTCAGGCAGACCGATGGCAACTGAGAGAGAGCGTCTCGCACTATTTCGGAGCAGGAGGCATACTTCACCTCCATCATAGTGGTCAGCCTGCCTCTGCTTGGGGGTTTCCACAGGGGAGCGGCTTGCTTTGTGAAGACTTGCATACCGACTTTGTCACCAGAGCTAAGTGGCATATTGTCTTTCATACACATGTACAAGAAAGCCTGGTCGAGCTCCTTGGCTCTCTGGCCTCCCGCTGAAACAAGAGAAATTAATGATTTAACAGGACGGACTTTTCTGCCGCTGACATAGGCAACCAGTCGCACACACGCATAAGTTTCTAGCGGTCCATTCCCCGTACTTACCTTTGAAAGATCCAGCGCGCTGTAGCGTTTCGTCGAGCGTTGCCTGCTTTGGCGGAGATGTCATGGATGAGGCACTATCAAAGCTTCTTTTCCGCTTGCCAAGGAGAGTTGGTGACGGCAAGGGGCGAGTACCCGATGATGTTGATGCCACACTACCGTCGTTTGAATTATCATCATCTAGAGCCTACAAGGGGCAGAGTTCAAATCAGTCTAGAGAGGTTAGGGGCACCTCAGGCGAGAAAGAAATTGTACTTACCACCACAGGATCGTCCAAGTCAATGAGGTCTTCACTGTTTGTAGACGAAGCGTTCTTACTTTTCTTGATTCCGTGACCTTCCAGGTGAAGCCACAAGTTGGAAGTGTTCCCTGAAGTTTTCACAACCCCCCCACAGATTGTACACTTTGCTTCGGTCTTGGAAAGTTTTGTAAAGTGTTTCCAAGCCGCACTCTTCGGGGGAGCCATAGTTTACAGCGAATCACTTTTACACTTTCAACCAAGTCCCGATTTGTTTTGATTTAAATCCACCTCGCTAGCCTAAGCCCAACCACCGCACGCTACAACTCACAGCAAGACGATCGAGGTTTAGACGGCCTTGCCAACCTGCAATATGCCTACTCTAAAAGAAAACTAGTATTCGTCCCTGGATTCGTCCTGTGTTTAGTAAAATTACATATAGTAAATTTTTTCTTTATTCTTTAAACAAAGAACGATCTCAAAGGCCTCTATAAAAATAATTAATTGCTGTAAAGCAGTCGCCATTCGAAGCCAACGTTGGCAGTTTTGGGAAAGGGGAGCAGACGACGTGGAGCCTTTTTTTGGGCGTTTGGGGCATTTGGTAGACAGTGCGTGCCCCGTGAAGCTCTGTGGAGCCTGTTTCACGACCCCAAATAGTGTTTTTCTCCTATTTTTCAGACTGAAATTGCCTACCGATATATCGGTCAGAAATATCGATTATCGCAACATCGGATGAGAGCCACTATCGATATAAAATATCGAAATATCGAAACAAAATATCGATATTTCGATAATATCGATGTACATCGCCCATCCCTATCGGGCTCTAACTCTCTTTTCCCCTCAATTTGAAAGGTGAGAGTTTCCCGGGCGGTGCACCATGTTACTGTGTAGGGGTCTTGGTTATTATTGATCGGATGGTAGTCGGTGGTTCATTGATCAATCACTTTAATACTCAGAGTCGCCTAACACTACTCCTATAGCTAAGCCCTAACTGCTACACTATCCCCCCAGGCTAACCCGGTGGCACCCATTCAATGACCCAGGGAGTACTGGCCTACCTTTGCAGGGTCATGGTGGTCGTCGACTCCAGCGCCGCGTCCAGGGTCAGAGGTCAGGGGGGCAGCAGCCACGTGGTTCACTCGCGGGCGTCGTCACTCACTCCACGTCCACTCGCCAACTCACCCACTGCCCAACTGCCTCCCTTCCCCCTGCCCCGTGGCCACCTCGGCGTCGCCCGCTGCCGCCGGTGTGTCAGGTTGCATCCCCGCGGCACGCGAGCGCGGCCGCCCGCCGGGCTAACCTGTCGCTTGGCTTGGGCGCCTGGAGGTTAGGCAACCTCACGGAGCCCAGGGCAACAATAGGCCCTTACATTATGGGGAGTGGGGAAGGAGGGAGGGACCCCCGCGATCCCCGCACCCGGTGGGTCGGGTGTTGGGGAGGGACGGAGGGGGGAGAAGGTGCCGCCTGTCTCCCCGCGGTCCCCGCACCCGCGAGGGTGAGGGGGAGGAGGGGGGGTCTGTGGCACACTGGCGCGCGTGCGCCCGGTCCCCGCCAGGTGGGCAGGTAGGCAGCGCATGGTGGGAGTACCATAATGTGGAGTGGGGATTACAGGTGAGGTGAGCAGCACACTAGGGGAGGCACATACCTTAATCGTCCGTTGTGGAGTCGGGAAACATCTGAGGTGGTGATTCTGGTGGTGAATTCGGCGGGGAAAGTATGTCCTCGTCCTCGTCTTCGTCCACCCAGTACTGATGCTCGCCCTGATCGCTATCTGAGTCGCTCTCAGTCTCGCCGTCCTCCTGCATTACAATGTCTCCCTCTACAAGTACATCCTGGTCGTCGTTGTCGCTCCCCGCCATCATTGATTCGTCACTGTCACTGTCACTTTCCTGCTCGTCCATTAGTCCGTCATTAATGTCATCACTGTCATCGTCTGACGAATCCGGGGCATGTCCACAAATGTCGCAGTCTACGACGGGATTTAGACATGGTAAATCACAGTACATGCATTGGGGGACAGGAGCCGGAAACGTCCCATTCAGTGCAACTCCATGGAGATAGAAATAGTTCCTTGGCGATTCGCAAATTTGATCCGGGACGAGCGCCAAGTCTGCACATCCCGGATGAAAATTAAGAAAGTCGTTGGCTACTCTATCCAATAGAGTTACAAAGCACAGGTCGTAGCACGAGGTCGGCATTGTATAAAAAAAAACGAGCGAGTGAGCGACGACGGAACGATACGACCGGGAGAGCGGATCAGGATGAACTGAGGTCTGGACTGTGAGATGCTGGATAGAAGGGGTGGGTTGCGTTCGAAATGGGTTAGGCTGGTAGCATATGCTTGTTAATAGGGCAGCAGAAAATCTAAACGCATCCCATATTACCGGGAATCGAATGGGATAAGCCTGGGAGCGGGTCCACATCTCCACGGAGGCGTCAGCTCCACCTAGGGGAGGGGGAGGGGGGGTTTGGACTATAGGCGCCATGAGACAAAAGCCTGATACAGGGGAACAGTGTGTGAATGTATGTGGAGGTGAGTGACGAGATTTGTTGCGGGTGGTGGGGAAGGTTGTTGGTTCAATTCCCCCAAGTTCAGTCGCCTCCACATACATTTTTTAAAAAAGGGCAAAAAATAAAATGAAAATAGATCGTGAGCGACTCAAAAAGCATCTGCTTATTCTGCTGACTCGTGAAGAGCGCCGATTGGTTAATATTCTGAGTGGGGGAATTAAGCCAACTAAGTGTTTTGTGCAATGTAAGGGGCAAATGCATACTCAGCAAAAAGTGTCATACACCTGCATGGAAGAAGTGATCGTTGACGTGTCTTGGGCGTCAGTGTGTCGTGAGCAGCGTGATCGAACGTACGTGACCATGGCTGCAGTGTATGGTGAGATGTTAGGAGAGAGCATGGATTTAGCCCAACTCATGTGGGGCGTCGAGAAACCCAGAACGGTACCCTCTTATGGTGAGTCTTGTATTTATTAAGTGCAGAGGTGTGATATGGTGGTGTCAAATTTAATTATCCTATTCCAATGAACTGTGGCCCCAGCCACTGCTACACATTCCACATTGTGTGCAAAGTTACCAACTGGTTCTTTTAGACATTTAACAGCCTCTGAAATTGAAGAGTTTGGTCATGAAAAAATTAATCCTGATTCGTTTTTGGGTTATCTATTTGTTGTTGATCTGGTATGCCCTAAAGAATGACACGACAAGCACAATTTTTGTCCTTTGGCGCCAGAGCACATTGAGCCGCAGTACAAGGACTTATCCCGACTCTAGAAGAAAATGATCAGGGACTATAACTTGCACATTACAACACATGGCACACACAGTCAATTTACGTGTCTTATTCCAATGAACTGTGGCTCCAGCCACTGCTGCACACTGCACAAAGTGTCTTTTTAGACACTCTCTTTTTTCATACACTACAAAGCGTGTTATACTAGACGAACCCTTGTCGGATGTTACACTGTAACGTGAAGACAGTGTCAGTCACTGTAGAACGTGCCACGGCGGAACGTTGTTCTACAGTGGTCTGACTATGAGCCAACTATGAGCCCATAGCCAATACCTCGTAAAAAGTCGCGCGTCATGACTTAGAAAATGTGAGTGAAAATAACACATTTGGAGCGTGTAAAGCTCCATGTTGCTGTCGATATTTTTAAAACTGATGCAGGTTTTCTTGGTCCTAGGACATTCTTAAACTCGTTTACAGTGTAAATTTTCGTAAAAAAAGAATTACATAAAATCGAGTGTTGGGCGTTTTCTTTTAGGTCTAGCCCACGTTGAGCCCCTTGCACATTAAAAGCAATGTAAAGATCAGGAAGAACATATGAAGAAACCCCTAAATACCTAAATTCATGAAAAGAGTATAAACTAAAGGTTTTACGGAATAGTTTTCTTTGAAAAGTGTCGTAAAATAACATTTTAAAATTGTTAAATTGCGAGCACTTCGTATCGAATTTAAATTTGTTGACAAGCAAAAAAGGGCAGTCGTAAATTAACCAAAATCTTTTGTAATCAAAATTACAATAAGAGTTGTATATTAACGAGAACTTTTTTCACCGTGCTAAAAATTTTCGCTTCACGTAGAAATTTTGTTTTTTAAAGCATTTTTATTTGCATAAAATATAGTTTAATAAGGTTTAATGCAAAAATGTTCACTTAAAATTCCGCATGATATAAGAAGATTTTTTTAAATAAAGAAAAAAAGAAGTGCAGTCTGAATTTGTACGGCCAAATTATTGATCTTTCAAAACCACACGTTCCACTAACTCACCTGGTGAGCCCTCTTGATGACAAGAAGACGGATTCGGGCTGGCTGTTTGAGAATTCACTGAGGTGTTGTTGTTGTTGTTCTTGCCCAGTTCCTGTCAGAAGAAAATGGAAGTTCGAAAAAAATTGTAAAATTGTAAAATCCATATCAGTTAATTTCTAGTAATTCAAAGCAACATTCGCTTATCTCCTCTAAATATCTTGAAAACCGCTATCTCGGATCAGGTATCAGCCAAACCATTGCCGGGGAAAGCTATGTTCAAGACCGGTTATTTCCTGACCAGAACTGTTTTGAGATAAGGGACCTGTTATTAGCTGAGTGAATGCGTACTCTGGAAATCTAACAGTAATATATACCAGGCAGTGCTGTTTAAGGTAATTTCGAATGTTAACGCGCTAAAGATAACCCGTTAACCAACCCAAAGTAACTTAGCGCGTTATCGTTAATGCGTTTCAACACTTGTAACGCGCTAACGTTAACGTAACTTTTAACGTAGTTAAAGTTCACCTGACGTTCATTAACTGTAGCCGGACTTGACATGCTTATGATAGAAATTGATCATTAAATTACTGCTCAGCTCTTGTCTGAGCGCACACACATTCACATCGAGCCGCTTTAGCTCCAGCGTATTGTTTGCAATGTTG